TATAAATTAAAAATAATGAAATAATATATTTTCTATAATTTTTTATATAATTTTTTTATTTTAATATTAAGAATTCAGTTTGTTAAAAAGAATATATATCGCACAGATAAATTGGTAAAATATACATTATAACAATCTTATAATCCCCTAATCAAACATTGTAATCTTATATTCTTATCAAATAAATCATATTATATTTAAATAATTTTATTTATAGAGATAATATTACATTCCATGAAGCAAACCACCTCTAAATTATTTTGAGCTTTCTCATCTCTAATGTAACACCAGGGGTAGATGCACTTGAATCTATAAGATGTCAAATACACACTTATTATTTTAGATAAATTTGGCGGAGACCATTCAAGAGTCCAACTTATTATCTAACAAAATCATTAAAACTGGGAAAACCAAAGATCAATCTACATGCTGTGATTGTTTGAAATCATAGAAGATTTAATAAAGGGTTTTCTTGTTTGGGTATTGATGGAGGAAACTACAAGAAAAAGAAGAAGCTCGTGAGAATGGATTATTGGGAGAAAAAACTGGTCCGACAGTGATGGATTCCTTGAAGCTCCATTAGAAAAGGAGGGTGAAAGAGATTATAACGTGAATAGTAGTAGTAAACGAAATGGATTTTGAAGATAAATTCAATTACTTCAAAGTATCAAGAAAAGAGGATAAAAGGAAATGGAGAAATCAACCCCTGCTTTTTACTTGCAAATCCAAGAGTAATTTGGGATTTCATTTTCAATAATGCTAATGTGTTCTTCTCTTAAAGAAGACTCTTATGGACCATATTAGGGGAATTGATTAAGGAAATGGGTTGAAAGTTATATTTAACACTAAAGTCGTTGATAGGTGAAATCAATTTTGACAAATTTACGAGTCAATTTGTGTTCTAATGACCAACTCAATTGTAGCAACTATTTAAAATATATACATAATGCGTACTTTTTAAGCTAAAATGATGCATTAGCGGCTGTTGTATTCAGCACCAGTTGCCAGCCGTATGATCATATCTTCAATCCAGAGCTACTTCATTCCCTCTTTCCGAACAGCCTGCGTTCCACTCTTCGATAGTAGTAGATCTTTCATTTCTCTGTAGCTGTTGAGCTCCTCAAGCGCATCCGCTGTTTTACGTGGCAGAAAAAATCCAGAAGCCATACCGACACCTCCATCGTATTCAGTCTTTAATGAATGAGTCGAATAACAACTCGAGTCTTGCCGGAGAGGCGGTGCCGTTCTGAGCAAGTGAACAAGAATGCCAACAGCAGCATCTTGTGATTTCTTTCCTACCAGATTTGACTGTGCAGTAAATTCTGAAGCTTTTTTGCTCTCTGTGTTTTGACTGTAATCACCCATTGCAGGCACAGAAATAAGTACACAAAATGTTAAGCTAAAAGAGAAAGATCAAATCTTACATCAAACTCTAACAACAGACAAATAAGGTAACCTTAAGAACAGGAAAAGTCCCATGATGAATCGATTTCGATCAGTCAGAAGAGAAGCAAAGCTAAACTATTAAAGAGATAAATTGCCTATTGGCTATATGACATATTAATATTAATCAGGCTCACGGATTCTGAACTTTAACCTACTTGTACACTTCCAGTTTCCTTCTTGTTTTAAGCATGTTTACTTGCCTTAACCATGCTTTAAAAATGAAACCTTTATCTTTACCAATATAATATTATCAGATAAATTCTACCCTTTAGTTGCATCTATGACTAGAAACAGATAAATTTGAGATGTATGTACCTGGATGAATCAGATACATCAACATCATCAACATCGAAAGGGCAAGAGAATTCACAATCATCCATGTCATCCTGGAAAGATAACCTACTAGAGCTTCTAGAGAATCCAATACGAGGTGAGCCACTAGAAGATAGCAATCCTGAGAATCGACCCGAGTCATCTTTACTATCTCTAACCACCTGAGAAGCAAATTAGTACTGGCCTCATCAGCACAAACAAAGATACAATGTTTTCTAAAAGTGTAAAACTTTCAAGTAGCAGGGAACAGAAATTTAAGACTACCTTTGGTGCGGAATAAAGATTTGACAAGCCAGAAGGAGACTCTCCAGCCCGTAGAGCTTCTATTTTCCTGTATGATCGAATCCCAGATGGAGATTCTTGAGATGAGGCATCATGCTTTGAGCTTCTAGGAGACAAAGGGGGAAGGGAATGCCTACTTGGATCGGAAGAGTTAGGAGAAAGATATCTAGTACTCCTGCCAGTTAGTGGAAGTGGAATGGTTACGGGGGCAGTCTCAGAACAATGACGAGTAAGCAAAGGATTAGCACCAGTTAAGTATGTTGGAGTTGATGGGGAAGCAGATGGTGAGAATGGGGGTGATAGCTTATACTCATCATAAGCAGTAGCCTGTTGTAGAGTTGACACTCTATGATTTTGAATTCTATTACCAAATAAATCAGCAGGTGGAGATGAAATATCATATGGTTTGCAAGATGTACGATACGCAGGTGGAGATCCTGCAAGAGATTGAGTTTTTGTAGGAGGGATTCCTCTATGAAAGCCACTAGACCAGCTGTGTGGACGTTGAAATGGAATTGAAGATGGAGACCGCAGTCCTCTGGATGGGAAGGATATAGCATGAGCACCCCTCTCTGATGAAGGAAAGGATCTCATAGGATCCGTGGTAGGGCTACCAACATAGTCTGTTATAATCTTTGGAGGCAAAGACACCAAAGGTTCGAGGTTGAAATCAGATAGAGTTGTACGGTAGGTCACCGACACACATAAGCAGCCTGGAGGAGCCTCAACAGGAGTAAAATTATATTCTTTCATTCCATCCTCCTCTTCCCTAGAGAATGGATGACTAAACGATGAAACCTTGTAAATAAGATCGAAATTATACGTTTGACTCAACAAACTTAGCTGCCTAAAGATTCTATATGCAGGGAGAAGCCTCATTTGCGAGTAAAGAGATCGCAAAAGTAAGATGCATTTCTTATAAATCTTCTTATAAGAAACAGCAGCCTCAGCACCACTAGGAGTGGCAAAAACCCGAGGGCAATCGTATTGAACAACCCATCTTTCGATAACAGTCTCAGTCGAAGGGCCAGCAGCTGCAGCCGACGGAGCATAGAGGTTGTCCACTGATGAGGAACAAGGACCATGGCGAACCAGTATTATGTCGATTACCATAGGATCCAATAGATTCCTAAGGGAGAAATTGAGATTCTCCAGAGCCGGAGGACGATCTCCTAAAACTAAATTGAACCATTTGTCGGTCTTCCTCACCCGAGAAAGAGAAAGCGATTCTTGCTGTTGGTGGTGAAGAGAAGGGACCCTGGACTCCAAAATAACGTGCAATATCTTGGAACGAAATTGGGAAACAATTTGTTCCAATTTCCCAGGTTCTCGATCCATTTCCATGGCAAGCTGTCAGTCCATCCCCAAACAAACAGACAAGTATTGCGACGTATCAAGAAAAAAGGCTGTAATTAATAAACGACAATGAAATTGGAGAAAGGAACCTCCTTTTCAAATCTCAACTCTGACCCACCAACGAACACTGATGATCAGAACCATTCATACATTACCCATTAAAGGATACAGGAATTTGAAGAAAAAAAATTACCTGCAAATCTGCAAAAAGGGCAAAGGGATCCCTAAGATAGACAATGGGAGTAAGGGAAGAATAAATGGTATAAGAAAAGAGAATTTACTTACTAGTTTGAAAGGGGAAGATGATTGACCATTGGCGTGCGCGAGATTTGCAGACAAAGCTAAAGGAGACGTGACCAATGGCAATTATTGATGGGCATCTAACCCGAATCCGATCCGATCTTGTCGAATTTTTTTAAAAAAATTTCGAGTTTAGGTCGGTTTTTTTTATGTGGTGTTCGGGTCGGATCGAGATCGGATTTAGGGTGAAAAAAATTCGACCTGACCCTGGAAAAATATATAATTTTATCTTATATATTTAGAAATAATTACAATAATATCCCTTTATATATATTTTTTTTTCAATTTAATCACTATTTTTACTGAATAAAAATATTTTTTTTATTATTTTAGGTCGGGTCGGGTGAAAAACTAATTTTGTCGGATCACGGGTGGAAGTCCCCTTCTTCTCAAATCGAATCGGGTAGACCAAAAACCCGACCCAACCCGACCTATGCCCATCCCTAATGGCAATGGCGTAAAACTCAAAGAAGGATGACACTTTACAATAGGATTTGACAATGAAGAAACAAAATCTCCTAAACCATCTACGGAACTAAAATAAATAAATTTGTTCTTAGTCGTAGTAGTATTATTATAGCGTATAAAAACGAATCTATTATTGTTACGAAAATGATTAATAAATTTGATGATCGTTATCCTAATTTTAGTCTCTTTTTTTCTTTTTATATTTTTAATTACCTGCGTATAAGCAATTCGGGATATATATTTTTAATTTAAAAACCTTAATCCAATCATCATCATCCAAACTGTATTCATCTTTTTATTAAATATTTTTTTAATCAAATCAAGTGTTTAAATTAAAATCAAAATTTTAGGCCCAACCATTTAATTTTGCCATTAAGATAATAAGCATGAGAAAATATCAAGTAGTAAAAAGTTTCAAAGAATCTAAAACTTATTTTAAAATTTTAATTTTGTTTTGGGAGTTAAATTTATAAATATTTTTTAAGAAGTAATTATTTTTAAATTTTTTATCACATTATCTTAATGTTGGAATTAATAATTAGACTCAAAGTGATTATAGATTAATAGTTTAGATAGAGAAAACAACGAGATGAGACGAGCAAAATCTTTTAATGTTCTAATCTCTCCTTTAGAAATGACAACTAAGATCCCACCTCAACCCGCCCCAAGTATTTTTATGTTCTACTCGACCTAACCAATCTGAAGTTAAATGTGAATACTCGTCTCCGTCCCGTTCCGAGTTAAATTTATTTTTTTAATTTTTTTTCTTAAAATCAAAACATACATTTTCAGAAAATATTTATTTTTCAAGAAAATACCAAAATTACTGCACTCATGTCTCAAGCTCGTGCGCATGGCATCTTATAACAAGAATTGAAACTAATTAAATCATTTAAAGCTAGGGGAAACTTGTTTAAAGAATTCTAAACAACCATGTTTATCCAAATTGGTTGCTAAGAACAGCAAGAAATAAAAAGGAGAAATCATTTCGTTGGAGAAGATACGAACCACTCCCATTTCTGGACGATGAAATGGTTTGGCGATATTAGCTCACCATCGTCTCCCTTGCTTCTCTTTAAACTCTGGGTCCCTGTAGACAAATATTAAACCAGAAGGTGAGAAGGTAGCTAGTGGTCAAGGGCCATGCATTATCACCTACATGGAAGATAGAATCAAACCTCTGGATATGATCAAGAATAAGGAGCCGGGGTCCAGGTGGTATTTTCACATCTCTAAGTGCACTGAAACACAACATGTCGATTTAAAGGCAATCAGAGCATACATACACAGTTCATAAACTATTAATTTGAAAGTTGAATCGAGATATAATCCAACTGCTTGCCTATCGGTGAGCAAAGGCAACGTGTTATCTGTTAACAAGCCTCTCTTGAAATTCTTCTCGTAGTTCTGCAGGCCGAGACTACTTAACATGGATCTTGTTCTGGAATAGTACACATCCTCAGCAGGTGGTTGAGAAAACTTTTGCCCCAACTGTATAATTAATCACAAAACAGTGGTGGTTCGATATGAAACTGCAGCCTCTAGTAGAGCAATATTTCAAAGCAGTATCCATTAAGAATATTCAACAGTTGGAAGGGGAAATTTAAGCTCATGGGATATAGGCACTCTCAAGAACAATTGATTCTAAAATTCCGGCACACCATGCTAACAGCTCTTTCGGGTTTATGCTAGCTCCATCTTGTTCATAGCAAGCGAAGCAATTAATAACCAGATACTAAACAAAACATTGATCTCAGTGAGGTTAATGCGATTATAAATCACCTGGAAAAGACCGCCTTGAACAAGAGCAAAAAAAAGACCAGATGTAGCTGCATTTGCAATCTGATTTGGGCCACCCATACCGCTCACTAAGGAAAACATGGCCCCGGAACCAAAAGCCGCCACCATGCTGCAACATAAAGTACTTTATCTAAAACAACCGTGTAAAACCTAGAGTATAATGATCATCCAATACAAGATAAAAGAAGAAGCCAACAATTCTTTATTCAGAAACAAACTTGGGTCATCTATACAATCTTCAGATTGTCACACATAACTATCCAATAATTCTCTCCACATGTAATATAACAATTCTAATTTATGATGGGCTTAGTAGAGATACTGAATCAGATTACTCCCTGGAAAGCAGGATGTAAAAGTGAGTGAGATCGAATCTAGCAAAGCAAATGTTAGAAGAAAACGAGTGCATATTTTTTCCGAGAAAGCAGCTCCAAGCTTCAAAATTGATGAAATAAGCTAGTTCAATATGACAAAAGTTTCAATAATTGTCCTCTCTTTAACAACACAAAACAATACATAATCAACTAATCTCCTTTTCAACTGTTACCGGTTAAAACAGGTCCTTTATAGCAGTCAGCAACTAGTATCTTTTATGGGGTTATGGAGCTAAGAACCAATGACTAGTTCCAGTATCCTCTAGCTACAAAACAACAGAAAGAAATCAACGGAGATAAAGAAAACTGTGATGAAAAAGGTTAACCTAGATTGGACATCCTCCTTCCCTCTCAATCTTTTCATAACACAAGATATTCCGGCGTTGACGCCGGTCATCACCGCAAAATTTCGAGCTTGTACCAAGGGACCTCCTGATAGAGCCTGTAATCAAGTAAACAACTACCATATATCAATAAAATCAATTCACAGATCAATAATTCGACCCTGTTTAAGAAAAACCATTCAGTGATTCAAAACTGTAACTAATGCTTGTTTGGGATATGGTAATTACAGTTCTGCAAATAGAATCAAGAGAAAGGGGGAAAGAGCAGGACCTGGGCTTGCTTGAGAGAAGCCATGGCTTGAGGGTCGAGGGAAGCCTTAGGAGTTGGAAGAGAGGCATCGTTGGTGAGGGTACCCATGAAAGCACCGATGGCAGCGCCCTGAGCGGCGCTGGTGGTGGTAACCACGGCGGCCTCGACGGGTAAGGACTGCTTGGCTAACCATCCCCTGAAACTGTTCTCCAATTCCTTGAACTTTGCTTGCAACTGTTCAAGTGGGTTTTGTTGTGGCATCACCACCATTCCTTGCTCTTTTCCTCGCTCCATTTCTGTAGAATTTTTGCATACAGTTTGATGCTCAAAGGATAGAAGGGGAGAGTGTAATTGTTGGTGTGCTGCCGCTGGAAATGGATATAGATATGTGCACATATATTTGGTAGTACAGCAATGTCATGGACCGGGTCGACCCTAACATTTGTTCACCCGAATCAATCCGTAAATTTCTTTTACTGTTTAAGATTGAGTTAATTTCATCACACGTCTTCAAACTATGAGCATCTTTCTAAATGGATTCCTAAACTTTTAAATGTTACAATTTAATCCTAAAACTATGATACTCATTCTAAATTAGTACTTAAACTTTTGAACATTCCAATTTCATCCTCAAACCCTAAACCCTAAACTATAATGCTCATTCTAAATAGTCCTAACTCTTTTTTTTGAAACATTTTAGCCTCTAAAATTTTATTTTAAGACAAAATACTTCTAATGTTCCACTAAATAGTCACTTTGTTTTTTTTTTCTTGAGCATTTTACTCCCCAACATTTCATTTTAGAATAAAAGACCCCTATTTTGGAACGTTAATTTCTTATTAAGTAACGGTTCATCCACAGAAGAATCTTTTTGCCCCCAAAATGAAGCATTAGGATCTAAAATACTCAAAAAATGAATTAAAATAACCATTTTAACAAATGATAGGGTTAATTTTGACATTATACCTAATTTTATTAATAAAAAATATTACTAACATATACATATAGTTTGAAATGAAATTGAGAATTCAAAGATTTAGAGACCATTTTAAAATGAAGATCATATTTTTTTAATGAAATTGAAACATTTAAAATGTTCGAGGATCTAATCAAGAATGAGAAAAATAATTTGATGACAAAGTTAAAATTTTAAGACCAAATTGAAATGATCATAATTTAGAGATCATTTTAAAATGAAGATCATAATTTGTTAATAAAACTAAAACACTTAAAAAGTTAGAGAATTTATTTCAGAATGAGAATCATAATTTGATGACGAATTTAAAATTTTAAGACCAACTTGAAATGATGATCATAATTTAAGTACGTGTTATGCAATTAATTTAATATTACATATCACATAACTCAATTTAAATATGTATAGAAAAATACTACGAATATATATAATTAATTATATAAAAAAAAGCCAATAGCAGAAATTTTGCTACTTGTGCAAGGGCCGAAGTTGCAACAATTATGCTCAGCAGAAAACGGGAAAGAAACATGGAGATTGGTTCTTTAAACCAATTGACAATGAACGCATATGCACCCAGTAGACAAAAACTTGAAGATCTCAGTTCGGCAAAAACCGAACCACTTCACCGGCAATTTGGTTAGCCTACAATTTAATTTGCAGAGACAAGCACAAGCCGCCTTCTGATAAGCACAACCTGATGCTCACAGGCCCATGAATGGCAGCCTCAGTTCTTCGCTGGTTCCAAAGTAGAGACCAAAAGTTTCAAGCAATCTGAGATGGCAGCATGTAAACTTAAAATCAAGCAATTAAACACGCAAGAGCATCAATAATCAACTTGCCTTTTAACTCCATTTTCGGTTGGTAAACCGTGTTCAGACCCCAAAAATATTCAGAAAAGCGACATCATAAACTCATGTTGGCAACCAGACAAATTGGTTTACTCTCCCCGCGAAGATGCAAAAACAGGCAACTGATACCAGTCAGCACATAGCAGTTTCCGAGAGATGAACTCAAACGGTATACGTCTACCTGGTCGCTGTCTGAAAATGGCAATGATACGTTTGGCTAGTGTAAGGCTGAATCACCTTGCAATCTACGGGAAGTCCCCAGCAGGACGCAAGCATAACACGGCACATTTACATTGGTTTGGCCATCCAACACAAGGAATGAAAATTTTCACCTGCATAAGAATGATTGAAAATAAGGAAGTCAGACATTTCCATTCAAGAAACCTAGAAAAGGAAAAGAAGATATATTCAAGATTGCAAAAGCATATTTAAACTTCCCGAAATTGCACACTTTCGAACCCTGCAAAATCAACACATACTTCAGGATCTTATAGAAGAAATCAACAAGGACAAAACGAGAGTAAAATAAATTAGAAAATATAGAACACATGACAAATAGTCATGTCATTTCTCTTCAACCTGCAATCAACTAGTAAACCAACAAGGCAACAAGTTATAAAAGCACTTCAAAATGTACCTAAAAACCATGAAAATATAGAACACATAACAAATAGCCATACATCCATAAATGGACATGTATGAATATAAAAACAATTCAACTCCTATTAAGAACCTAGAATCACCCTGTATCGGTTCAAAATTGGTGAACCCGAGTATAAGAAGAGTTAGAAAGAAACTAAATTAAACTCAAGTTTCACAACGAAGCTAGGAGGAACTAAATAGCATTAGGCAAAATAAACAATAAAAGTGTTCTTTTTCCCTACAGGCCGGTATCGTCCACCGACATCAAAGTCAATTATCCATTTATCCATATTTGTCCCATGAGAATCAAATCTGAATAAGTTTCAATGGAACACTTAAAGGGAAACAACATATAGGAGTCTTTAAGGTTAATAATAGGATACTTTATATGTAACGTAAACTCTAATCTAATCTAGCTTGTATCCATGCCATCTCCAACTTGGCTGCAGATCGGACTCACAGCAGAGAAAGATCTCTCCAAAGGAGAAGGATGGAACTGTGCATCACGTCTGCGCTTAAAACCGCAGCTATCAGAGGGCGGGGAATTGTCGGCATTGAGCTTCCTCCTGACGCCTCTGACCGCTTGTTCCTCGGCTTGAGTGAGGGGAAAGACCTGGCGGCTCGCCCGGCAAAGGGAACTATGGTTATCATACAAAATTCTCTGGTTACAGTTCTTGTCACAGATGTGTGTGATCCCTGTTAGTTTGCATCGATACATGTTGCCACAAACATGTTCATTTTGACATTTCCAATCGCATTTGTGAACAGGAATAGGACCATCACGGTCCAGAATAGTAGACATATAAATAACATTAGCAGGGGCAGCAGCCATGGTTTTGCCGTATACCTCCATTGCCTTTGAGACCGGAGAGTCTTCTTTCAAGATGAAGAATCCGCACCAAATGTTCTTCTGCAGAGCCGAACAGAATATCAAAAAACGGGTCAACTCTCATCTCTTGCTAGCGAATTGCTGCTACTATCTTTTTGGATCAAAATTCTTCACTCAAACGACTCAACCAGCTAAAGATCAAAGTTTTGAATAACTGGTCTTTTGTTTCGATTATCAAAGAAATAAAAACACAGAGCCCATCACGGAAATAACCGCCAACAAACAAGATCAAATTGCAAACAGATCTAAACATGGAAACAAAATAATTACCCAAGCTCCAACACTAAAAAAGCACACAACTTTAAGGAAAAAGAACAGCAAGAGATGAAAGAAAAAAACTCACCTGGAACCGGAAAAGTGAAAGCAAGCAACAAACAAGAAGAAACCTCTCGCTTGAAGAAGAAGCTGCAGCAACCTACAAAGAAGAAGAAAGAGAAGGGGCAAGGTGAAAACATATGGAGAAAACAAGGGAAGAGGGAGGGGTATATATAGAGAAAAATGGGATAAGTGGAATATGGGATTGGACAAAAGAAGGGCCGAAGAGTGGGGTTGAGTTGACGCGGCGCACCCTTACTTAAAGCAAGGGTAAATTGTACTAATAGTCACAAAACTATTAGTTCACTTTTGTTTTATTAATTAAAATCGAAAAAGTTTCATTTCAATCACTAGCTCGAAATGGTAAGTCCACCATATCATCTTTTTTTTTTTGAACAATTCTTATCTAGAGAATGAAGAAAAACAATATTAATTGAGAATTTTTAACTATCTCTTTTAAAGATAGTTAACGTCATCGTGATAGTTTAGCACTTCAATAATCAAAATATAAAACTTTATTAATGATGGTAACTATGATGCAATTTTTTCGATTTGAAGAAAGATGATACACAATGGAGTGACGTTAGGTTTTGGTGTGGGTGAAGGACATGAAATTCAAATGCCATACAAATTTACATGCAGATGTAATGTAATGTATTGCATGAAGAATCCAAGACTCTCCGTTAAAATAACCACTCCTCACTTAAATACTGTAACGTGTCTAACGCTTCTTTGCCTCGTCTTTTGTCGCCTTCTTCCCCACTTCCCTCTTCTTTTAATTTTTGTAGGGTTAATCCCTTCTTGCGCCCTCAAATTATTGTCTACATTTCAAATCGGTACTTATACTTCAAAATATTTTAACCGAGTGTTCAAAGCATCCATATTTTAGAGTTGACCGGATCATTTTATCAACTCAAATAGTTCTGAGATCAGATTTTTATCATATCCAAATTAGAAGGTTAATGTTCAACTTAGACGGCTGCCAATATTTTAACTGAAAATGACGAGTTTGGAACATATAAATAGGCAGTGACTATTTATAACTTTTAATAGTCGATGGACTCAATAAAATAATGTCTTATAATCGATGGACTATTTTGTAATATTTGAGTCAAAAGACTCAATAAAGTAGCTCCCTGTAGTTAGAAGACCATTTGTGTATTTTACCCTTTTATTTATTATCATTGAAAGCATAAAAGAAACCAAGTCCACGTGGCTTAATGTATGGGCCTATTTAACTGCTATATTTGGGCTAACATTCGTTTCCTTTGCCTTACAACCCACCGCAAATAGCCTGCAATGGATAACAACACGTTGCCTGCAGAAAACAAGGTATCCGTTTCACACATATATATATGGTAGGATATAGTGTAACGCATAATTTACTATTAGTTTAAGATTATTAGATAAATATAAATAGATAATTAAAATAAATAATTGAAAATAAGATGTTTTTCACAAATAAAAAAATAATAACGTGAATACATAAAATTTTAATTTAAACCAACTATTAACTTTCATCTAGTAAACATAAATCAATATAAAATTAAAGAGATTTATATAATGTAAGCAGATTTTACCCTATAAATATATCATGTTAATTTAGTCCCTCCTAATTAGGGAGAAACATGGGATTGAGACTAATTAACTATATAAATGATCATTAATATTTGAATAAGTTTATTTTTTCTCAATAATGTTTTAAAATTAACGATTTGATTACTAATGTTATCGATTTATAACAAATTAATCACTCAATCGTTAACCGTCATTATTAGAGTAATGAAATGTTAATGTGACACATTGGTATAACTTTTTTGACGTTATTCATGAGATCATTTTGACCGGCTCTCTCCTCTTCTTTTTCAACTCACTATTTCTCTTCTTTCTACAAATCTATCATTGTCAAACCCTTAAACTTCTTTTTTTCCCTTCATACCCTCCAATCATAAACTGCAACTCTTTCCACCTCCGTTCATGGCCACCGAATCGTCGCCTCTCTCAATTCCTGCAGGATAAAAGAAACACGGGCTGATCAGCCATTTGTATGCAATCAGAGAACCAACTGCTGGTACCATACGTGAATTGCGCAATGATTTTGGTGATCCCTTTGAAAAGATCCAAGAGTAATTTTTCCACATGTTATAATGTATGCTTAATGCATCTGTCTTCGATAGGTTTCTCCCGAGGAAAATTCGATATGCAAGGACAGGACTAGTGGAAAATCGCGAAGCTGAGGATCTGGGATACACATCAAAAGCAATGCTAAATCCCTTGCATTGTTCTTTGAAGGACTTCCTATAAAGATTGGATTCCAAACAACTCGTGATTGATCCAAGAAGTTGAAAGAGGCACGTTTGGCCCATCATCTGGCTCAGTAACAACTCATGTTGGTCGTTAAGAAGCAAATTGAGGGTGCTGCAATATTCAGGGGACATCCTGATATAGTTCATTACATATTTATTGAGAGGTGTGAACAGCACCAGCAGGGAAGGGGTATAACGATCCATTAGAACAAATAGCAGCTTGAAATGCCTCAAATGCTGCTATTGAAGAGTCACCCAATCTCTCATGGAACAGAAGAACTAGCCTCTTCCCAGAACAATGTATCCATGTCTCGGAGAACATCTGCCAATGTCTCATACATGCAAGCAAACGAAGCAGCTTTTCAGGTTTATGAGGCTACAAAAACGGCTTGCAGTGCTGAAATCCTCAGATTCAATCAATCCAATTGTGTGGGATGACATTGTATGCCAAGTGTCAACCTATATATTTATTTATATATGTCCATCGTTTATACCTTGAAATTTAACCTTCATCTTTTAGTGCAGCCCATCCTGACAATTATCTTCATGGACCATGTCCATTTATTCATCTTATTTTCAGTTTTTCACACAAACATATATATATATATATATATATATATATATATATATATATATATAAATAAAAATATTAAAAAGATCAAACTAACTGTACTAGCACGTGCTTAGCAATACATATTTGAACGACAAGAGTAGCAAGCAAACCCAGAGGATGTTTCCAGATTGATTTTTACAGTATCCTTTTGGGGAAAGAAAGGGAGTTAAGCAGATTACCATATTCTGTGTTAAGGTTAGAATAGTTATCTACGCCGGGATAGCTCCTTTTTTTCTTGCTTACAGGTAGACGAACTAAACGTCTAAGGTATCGTTAATAGATATATGCAGGTAGAGATGATAAAAAAAAATGGCAAAGTGCAGTTACGAGAACGCGTCAGCCATGTGTGGCTTATAAATTATGGTGAAAAGAGAGGAAAAGGAAGAAGGTGCATGTATAAAAATATAGAATGGCAGTAGCTACCGCCCCGTGCTAGAATTCAGTCGGCAGTCAAAGTGAAAAAATAAGTAAAGAAAATGAGGCCGAACGGCATGATGCAATATAGAATGATTATGGAGGAGGAGAGGCTCCGGTGCGGCTGATGGGTCGGAGTCAAAAGGCGACAGCTAAGAGAAGGAAGGTGATGGGTGGGCGGCCAAGTGCTGTTTCATCTCCATTCTGCGCTCCACGTAAGACTCCCACTTTACTGCTCCAACCTCGGTTTCTCTCTCCCCACTACATCGATTCTCGCGTGTAACAAATATGGTCAACATTTATTAATTACTCGTATAAATGTAATAATAAACGGGTAAAATATTCTTTTCACTGTTTAACTTTTAGTATATTCATGTTTTGGATAGTAAACTTTAAAAACATTTATTTTAATCATTAAACTTTCAAATTACACCTATTTTTTTATCATTCACGTATTAAATGAAAAACAATGTAATGACATGATCTACTTTATGCTGATGTTTACGGATTTGCAAGTCACCTGTTGGGCAAGCTATTTTGTTCTTTTTTCTTTTCTTTCTACTTTGTTTCCTTTTATATTCTTTCCACAAAAATAAAAATTCTTAAAGTTTCATCCCATGTCATAATGATATAAGAACGATAATTTTTTTCCAATCATTTAAAATATCGGTAAATTTATTTCATCATTCTTTATTATTGTATCAATTTTTTTAAAATCTATTTAAAATTTACGAAATTCAATCTAAAAATTCATAAAATCTCAAATCACTCTGATTTATAATCTTTATCATCCAATCAATGTGAAATCATGATATATAGTTCGTATCTTCTTCCTAGCCCCACTGTTTATATTTGGAAGCAGACATTCCATCATCAAGAAATCAAAGAGAACTTAAAATTAATATTTTTTTTAAAAAAGATAGTTTTGGAAAAAAATATAATATTTTTAAAATAAAAATCAAATCATAACACTATTAAATAATAAAAAGAAGACTGAAAAAAATGGATCAATTCAAAATTTTAATGATTAAATTACAAATTTTAAAATATAGTGACCAAAAAAAATTGAAGATAAAGTTGAATGATGGAAATTTGTAGTTTATCCGAAAATTGTAAAATAAGAATCCTACAACACGCTGTCTATTTAAACACATCTCATCTCTTCACATTTCCTGTCATATACGCGAGCACACTGCAAAAACAGTAACGCAAAAAACCTTTTGTCTTTTAGGTTTTGAAGAACAGCCATCCATTTAGCCAAGAGCCTCGATAGATGAACCCCATCCCTATATTGGCCTGTGTATGATTATGGAGAAACAATATTTGGATTTCATACTCGTCCCAATGGGGATTCTTTTCATGCTGGCTTACCATCTTTGGCTTCTCTATCGAATCTTAAACCATCCCACCAGGACTGTCATCGGCGTCAACGCCATCAACCGCGGTTTTTGGGTTCAAGCTATGATGGAGGTTGGTCTTTTTTTTCTTCTTTTCTTTTCTTTCTCAAAATCTTGATTTTCCTTATATAGATAGGATGTTTATGCAGGACGCGTCAAAAAATGGGGTTTTGGCGGTGCAAACGCTGAGGAACAACATAATGGCATCCACCCTATTGGCATCGACGGCGATCATGTTGAGTTCCCTTATCGCTGTCTTGATGACGAGCGGGAGCGCCAATAGATCGTCCTGGTTCATATTTGGAAACACAAGCGACCTTGCATTCTCGATCAAGTTTTTCTCGATATTGTGTTGCTTCTTGGTTGCCTTTTTGCTCAACTTACAGTCTATAAGGTATTACAGCCATGCAAGCATCCTCATCAACGTGCCTGTAAAAAAGATGTCTCACCAGCACCGCCACCACCACCACCACCTGACGGCCGAGTATGTGGCCAACACCGTGAATAGAGGCAGCTATTTTTGGTCCCTAGGACTCCGAGCTTTCTACTTCTCTTTCCCCCTCTTTTTGTGGATCTTCGGACCCCTTCCTATGTTCTTCTGTTGCATTGCCCTCGTTTTCATGCTGTATTTCCTCGATGTCAACTTTCAATTCGGGTGGGCCGTTGGGACCGTCGATGACGACGGCCTCAACCACGACGAGGAATCAGGCGGTACATGAAACAAAAGCAACGGTGGGGGTGGCGTTGATTCGTTCAACCAAAGTTGAATGGAATTGCATTTCTCATCAACAGGGAGACAAGTGTTGTTAACAATGGCGAGAGGTTTTCTACAAAAATCATCTGGTAACGAAAAATGTATTGAAGGAGAATTGTCCATAAACAGGAAATGGAAACTGAAAGCTTACATTTTTCTTTGAATTTCCTTTTCTCACCAATGGCTTTTAATGTTAAGAAATCAACAAAAAGGGTATTGCGTGGAGTTCATCAACAGTTTCTCTTTATCAGAAAGATATGTACTTCAACTCCGAAGTTGATAAAATACCGTATGTTACTCCATTTTTAAAGAAGCAAAAACAAAGCTCAAGTCAAATGATAACAAAGAACTAAAATGCTCAAGTGGAATACTCCACGAACCACTGCTTGTCCTTCTACAGAATTTTAATTCTCCAACTTGGGGATGTCAAGTTGCACATCAGGCAGAATATTCTGACTGCACATCTAAAGGTAAAAAATGCCTTTATTTTAAACATAGTTTCAATGCAACGAGAGAGAGCACTCCCAATGCTACAACTTACTTGGGATCGAGCGAGATCGACTTCGTGCTCGTAACGTCCGCACTGCAGTTATGTATTCTGCTTATTAAGTTATTTCCTGAATTTAATAAAGCTGTGCATCAAAGTTGGATGATCAGTACATGCTGTAGTTCGGCTAGCTAGCATTGTTTTCTCACATTAAATAGTTACAAAGAATGTTGCTTTCCTGCAAACTTTAAGGGGCCCATCATGAAATTTGTCATACTTTAAAAAAAATGTAAACTTTAAACTCAAAACCTTAAATTCAAAAAAAAAAAAAATACTTCGGATTTTATTTATCTAGTACGAAAGCCGATCTGAGCTGCCAAGAATGTAACATATAGACTCTCCACCATGATATGCTTATAGCTGTTTCTTGAAATAGCATAATCACTCTATCACTTCCAAACATTTACAAAATGGTTCTTTCTTTTGATATGGTGGACAATTATGATTTTTATGTGAACAAACTTTCCAATATAATGCAAAGCCTCCTCATGCAATGACCTGCTTGCAAGAGGGACTTTGTATAGACTACGAGAAGCAGACCAAACACGACGGAGAGTCGAATAGTTGGAGGATGCGCATATTCGGAATTTGTAAGCAGAAAATCAATTTGAGATCAACATGGAAAGAATCATATTTAATGTGGTTTGATCCCGATTGCATACATTCACCGACGACAGACAAATCCGTTATAAATATAGAGATTACAAAGAGTTTAGACATCAACCAAACACTATAAACAAGCCCCAAATAAACCCCCTTTTTTAAGCTCCTAATGTTTAACCCGATGTTTTACCAACTCACATCCCTAAAAAAAACCCATATCTCATACAATGGAAATTACACCCGTTTCATAATTCAAAAGGTTAGAACTCACTCTATAATTATGGAACTTATTACTTGATCAACAAGAAATCTTTGTTCTACAAGATTTCTTTACAAATACAAATATTCTCTCTTCAACAAATAGTACAATACCAAAATCCAAATCAGTTGTCAATTAGAATTTAGGTCAGTATCTAACAACACATTTGTTTTACGAAGAGACTGCATTTCTTAAGGATATGTTCCTACATTCAGGTGTCTTCAATAATGATTTCTTTTAGTTCAATGCTATTGTATAAAGAATTATGAACGAAAAGATTATGGACAACTGAGAAAATCAATGAAACAGTGTCTGTAAAAGTTAGGTACCTATCAGCATACTATTCTTTCCATTCATCTCTGAACTTCAGTTACTTTTAGCTTCAGCTTCATGTTACCAGCTTGAACTACTATTTCTTCTTTGTGTGTGTCTACTTTTAAAACTGTTGCTCTCTTGCCAAGTGATGAAACATGCACCGAATCACCAACCTTAGGAAGCTCGGTAATTTGTTCTGTATCATAAAGGCCAAAGGAACATTTACTAATAAAAACAGAATGACCTTTTTAATGGTCTAAGCTTAATAGAGACATTCCAGCACAAGGAGTTTAAAAGATACATAAGCAACCATTCCTACTCGGCACAAGAAAACTTCATCTGCTCATAAATGATACCTGATTGTGGTTTCTTAATAACTTGAATAGAGGACGAACTTGGATTGGTAGTCTGCAGCTTAGTTTCAACTTCCACAGCATGCTTGTATTGATTTGCTAGTGTACGCTTGCTTGCTTTACTGAGTTGAGATTGTTTCATGGCAGATGTACGAAGCTGCTGTACCTTTTTGTGAAGGGTAGATCGAGCAACTGCAGCAGCCTCAGATAGTTCTCGCATCTTCTTATATCTTTGTTGAGCAACAACCTCTTGGAGCTTTCTTCTGTTGAGCAATAGCTTTTCATGAAGATCTCTCGACAGCCTGTAATCACAAGCAGAATCCAGACATTATATAGAGCATCAACTAGCTTGCAATACATGTTTACAACTCCTTCAAAGACATTATATTTTCCATAGTTATTGGCCTATCACATGGGGGAAAATGGACCTTAGATGTTTCCTCCTCAAGTCAGAACAGTTAATAGCAAACATGAAAAAGGGCATTATATTTTCATTTCTCATACTTGCCAATTTCAATCGTGTATTGTCTAAAAGGAATTATTGCTTTAAAATCCACCATCCAATATCATTGCTTTAAAACAATGTACAAGCAAAATGCCTTCACCAGATAATGCTCAGCCTTAAATAAATTCCAGTAGTAGACCAGCCAAAAGACGCTCTCTGGAACAGTTACAGATATAATTGGACATTAGCAAAAATGGCTGCAATTAGTAGGAGGATATAGAAGGAAATCAAAGTGCTTCAATCAAAGATATATTAGGACAGTTACTCTGTATTAAGAAAATTCATAAAAGCAGATTAGAATATAGCTTTTATAGATGCCGAGCAAGTAATTAAGGTAACAACTAATTATTAAATAAAAAAGTCACGTGTTAGTGAGAGTAGCTCCAGCTTCTCTCTAACCTAGGTGTTTTCAAATTTCAAACTCGAGCCCAGGCGTCTTTGAATATTTTTCTTCTCCTCCTCCGACATCCACCTGTTGTCCGCCGTCGTCGTCCGCAACCCGCCGCCGCCGCCAGCCGTCCGCCGACACACTCCGATCACCGTTTGAAGCCGTTTTGTTCTGGGAAGATCGCCGGCTTACGGTGAGTTCATTTATGGTCTTAGATTTGCGATAGAGTCATTCTATCAACGCAGATCTCAACGAAGTCCACTGCCGACTAAAGCCGCTTCCCGCCGTCCGAGCATGACACCGCCTCTCCACTGGGCACAGCGTCTTCTAACGACCAGAACTAGTGAACTGGTTCGGCAAGATATTACCGTCCTCCATCTTTCTGCTTTTTTCCTGATTTCACCATGGATCCACAACCCCCGTCTCAGACCAGGTGAACTCGAGAGCTCTCTGCATCAGCTGCGGTAGGTGCAGCCTCTGTGAGTCACACTAGTACTCCCTCTGGATTCGATGGTGCAGCCATTTCTTCATATTCCAGTAAAGAAAAACGTGACAGGAAGATTGAAAAGGAGAGGACAAAGCTTCGGAAACGGAATAGGCGAGCTTTCACCAGACGCATGCTGGCCGGATTGAGGAAATACGGTAATTTCCCTCTTCCCGTGCGCTCTGATATGAATGATGTTCTGGCAGCCTTGGCCCGAGAGGCAGGTTGGACAGTTGAGCCGGACGACACTACCTACAGGCACTCTCCTTCCCACCAAAATCAGCAAAATGTAAGAGTTGTTTCTGCGAGGTTGGGTGAACAGCTTCTTTCAACCAGTTCTCTGGAAAAATGTTCTGGTAAAGGAACATTAGATTTGCAATCACCTGCTGTTAGGATTGATTATAGTGGTATGTCTCCTTCGCAAGGTGGGAATGATAGGACTGAGAGGCTTTCGTTAGTTGAAGCAACACCCGTTCTTTCTGCTGCTGTTGTAGATCACATTGGAACCAGGGGGATAACCACGAAGGGGCAGTTCAAAGATAAATCTTCAGAAGTAACGAGAAGGAGAATAAATGGATTTCAAAATTGGAGGAAGGATGGTCATACAAATGGTAGTAATGGGTGTAGAAGTGGATGCGTTACGCTATTCATTGAGAACCTGCCGGAGAAGTTACATTGGAAGAGACTTGGATTTATTTTTGGCACACACGGTCAAGTTATTGATGCCTTCATTCCTAAAAACAGGAACTCGAATGGGGTTCGCTTTGGGTTTATTCGCTATGCTACAATTGAAGAAGCAAGGATAACGATTTCAATGATGAATGGTAATCTTATTTATGGCAGTAAAATTAGAGTCTCTTTGGCTAAATATAAACCCCGACAGTCTTACTGGCGAAAGTCCTCGACAGTTGTTCAACGTAAGTTTGGGTCGGAAGATATTTCGAGGATTAAACACTGTGAAGTTGAGGGCGTTGTGGATGAAGATAAACTTGACGTGTTGAGTAACTGTCTTGTGGGGTGGTGCAAGAAATTTATCAAGATTGATAATCTTGCTAACCAAATACAAGCCAAAGGACTAGTTGGTTTCACGCTAATGAGAGCTACTGGTAATGTAGTTCTATTGGTTTTTCAAGACTCTGTTTTGTTGAGAAGCGTGAAGGATGATAAGTTAGAGCTTCTAGCAGAGTGGTTTTCCAGAGTGGAAACTTGGTCGGAGAGCCTAGTGGTGGTGTGTCGTCGTGTGTGGGTAGTTTGCGAAGGTATTCCTTTCCATGCTTGGAATTGGGATACCTTCAAAAACATTGCAACTAAGTGGGGCAAGTTAATATCAGTCGACAACAGTTGTGAGTTTCCAACGTCTTTTGATCGAGCTAAATTTCAAATACTCGCGAAGGCCCAAGGGAGAATTGATGAGATGTTGGAGTTGAAGGTCGGTGCAAATTTATTCAATATATTGGTGCATGAAGTTGAGCCTTCTTTCAAACCTAATTCTTGGGTCCCTGAAGATTGCGATGTTTCACTAGAGCTTGTTCCTCCAATTGGGTCGTGACTTTTTTGGCAGTTGCATTCAGAGGCGTTTTTTTTAGTTTGTGGTTGTAATTATTGGTTTTTATTTTGCTATGTTATCTTTCATCTTCAGGTGTATTTCAGAAATAGGGTTATTGTCTTAGGGGCTTTTTGTTCGAAGCTGAAAGATTTTTAGGTGATATGGTTTTTGTAATGGCTTTTATTCCCGTATGAGGGTTCGGTGTTACCATATGTACTTGGTATTATGTTTAATAAAATATGAGGCACTCTTTTCTTCCTTCCAATGTTCTTCAACATACTTCTAAGTATCTGGAAGAATACGAAGGGAGTTTTTAATGAAACCTCCAACTTCTATAAAAAAAAAAGACTAATTATTGAGAGCCGATATCCTCATAGCCTTTTAAAATTTAAATAGTTGGGCATTATTAGATTTGAAGCTCATGCTTTCACTCCCAGTAATCAATTTTTAAAAAAGTATACATACATTAGATGATGCCGGGACTCATTGATATGCTCTTGGAATTTTTGCTTGAATGTTTCCATATCCATTATTACCTGCAGTAAGAAATGAACTGATTATGTAGGAAGTAGGATGAAAGAGAGTTCAATACTAATTCTTTTTGATAAAAATATGGGAGGCCTCGTCAAAAATCCCAGTCATAACCTGAAAACTACATTTGTAGCTTGACGGACATTGGAAGGAGGAAAATAGTGCCTCAAAATTTGTTAATAATTTATTAATGAAACTTACAAAAAAAACTAGTACAAACAAACAGTACCCACCAGAATACATAACCTGACCAAAAACATAAAATATACACTACAACAATCAACATAAAACCTAGAACTAAACATAAATCCCCCGACCTACAACACAATTCTCAATTAAATAGTATATACAAGCCCTAAAACAGTAGTTTTCAGCTGCCATAAAATCAAGGTGATCATACAACTGTGCAACTATACAATAGTACCTTCAATATAGCAAAATACAAAATAATAGTTGCTCAATCCACAAGTTGATACTAACAGATATCATGACTTAACTAATAACAAGCATATTATAACCGAACCCAATTACCTCGTCAATCTCTGCACTAGCAGCACCATATAATTCACGAGCATCATCAACAATTATGCTTGGTACTCCCAATCTTTCAGCTATATTAATCGCATTTGATCGACCTAAAAAATGTTACACTGCCTTGGTCAGTAAGCCACAGCAAGTATCGTACAAGAGGATGATTAATAACCAGCAACTCATCTGTTGCAAAACTTGTCTTTGAAACTTTTTGGAGTTGGAAAGTTAACTGGCAGAAAGCATTCCAAGAATCAAGCAATTGATTGTTGTCACATAATTAAGACTGAATACCTGGTACTCCCCAGAGAATTTTGTAAGTTGGCTTCAAATTCTCTTCATCAAATTCCATGCAAGCATTTTCAAAAGCATCATTACTGCAAACATAGTATAACATCAAGAATTTGGTGCATCAGCACAATCCTTATTATAGATGCAAGAGCCAAAAGATAGGTAACAGAAGATCTTTTATATGAATGAGTTGAAACTTCAATAATCATAAAACATTACCTGATAAAGATTGCATTTCCTTCAAAAGGTTGAAGTGCCAATAAACTGAAGTAAGCAGTACAAGTATTACATCTTTAGCTAGCAACTATATACCTGTATTTCAAAGTTTTAAGTTCGCCATGATGCGTTGTAGCTATTGTCAGCAATGCCCCACTTTTAGCAAAAGATTCTAGCAGAGACATTCCTAGTGCTGCTCCTTCAAGGGGATTAGTTCCAGCACCAACCTAGCAGACACGGAATGGGGGAAAATCCGTTTTAGATTTGTTTGTAACTGAAACACTTTTCTTCTTTTCAACCTCACTTTTAATTGAGGCAAGTAATTACAAGATGCTTAATTGAAACATACTTCATCTAGTAGCACCAGTGATCGGCTTGTAGATTTTGATTGGATTTCCTGCAACATGAAAAATGTGTCGAGGAATTATTAACCAGAGCATTGTGTATGTGTAGTATTTAATCCCCAAAACTTGAGTATTTGTAGTTGGAAACTAAAATCCTGAACTTAAGGAATGAATCAAAGTCTCCAAGCAATTAATCTTAGGAATGATGTCCAAATGGTTTGAAGTCTATGAAGATGACTTTGTTGGTGTAAAATGCTGAACATTTACATTACAGCCAGTCATACATTTTAAAGTGTCCAAGAAACTATTGGCTCATCTCAAACAAGCAAGAAAATTTATAGAAAGTATATCATTCATTCATTCTTACACTAATTTGTTTCAAGTGTCCAGAGAATGTAGATAATGACTGAGACAAAGACTGCTCATCGCCAATATCAGCAAAAACACTATCAAACCAAGGAACTTTAGCAGATTCTGAAGATAAAACATGAAGACCTGCAGTATAACAGAAACTAGGATAAGGTTATGCCGTAAAGGGTGAAAATAACCAACCAAAATAATATAACAGATAAATCAAATGAAATTACTGATCACTGAAATTATATCAATATTCATCATAAGCATTAAGAGAAGACCCGGTTAAAGTGGAAAACTTGATCTATGGTTTGAAACATTATTATGGAAGTTCATTTTTGTTTCACAAGCATTTCACTACCCTTGATTAACTTGGAAAACATACAAGTAAACACAACTGCTGTATAAGCAAAAAGCTTAGAATGAGAAAAGGCCAATGTGTTTATTTACTTGGCATAAATACAAGTTAACATAACTGGCATGTAAGCAAAAAGCTTAGAATGAGAAAAAGCCAAAATGTAAATAACACAACCATGGAGCATTATTATAATTCTTATGCCTCCATTCAGTTTTTCATGATCATACATGAGTCATTAAAGAAAAAGGTAAACCTGATTTTGCCATCATAGCAGCCAATCCGATTGTCTTTAAGCATATAGTTTTACCACCAGTATTAGGGCCAGTTATGACCAGCACTCTGGTCTTCTGAGAAATAAGAAAATCAACTGGTACAGGGGGAGCTTCTTCTAGTGCTCTAACCTGGAACCAAGGGAATAATCATTTTGTAACTGAGCACTGAAAATATTATTAAGCCACTGATTAAACTAACAGCTGATGGATAATATTGAGTTATTAACTAGTTACCTGCTTTTGCAAGGATGAAAGATCTATTTCTGCTGCTCCTTTCACTGTCATATTCTCTGCCTGAAGTTTTCTTCTCCTAATTTCCTACGGCAAAAGGCAGTAAGAATAGAAGAAGGGATAACTGCAAAACTGGAATGAAGCTAACAACTTTAAACGAGAGAGTTGCTTGAGCAAAATTTAGTAACTGTAACTATTTCCTGTGCCAATTATTGTAGATAAACAGCAATTTTAAACACCACCGAGGACCCAAGAATAGCAAGAAAAAAAAATCAATTTTCATAAGCTTATATGAAATTTACAACCCTAGAGTGCTTTAAGGCAAAGGAAATGTTTAGGACAACAAAAGTTAGCAATATGTTACTTACAGCAGCAGCATTGCGGACATTCTTCCGAGCTGTGCTCAGCTTTTGCCTATGCTGCTGAAGTAATAAAGGATGATAAGCCCTATGCAGATAGAAAATCCATTCCTTTTTTGGATCTGGTGGCTGTGACGTTTTGTCCTTTGATCTGTCGGATTCAGCTGTTAAAGGTTCATTGATGTCTTCTGGAAGGAATATATTGGGATATGTCCCTCCATATGAAAGACTATAAGTTGCACGAGCATAAATCTAGATGTCAAGAAAAAGAAACAGTATAAAAATAGAATAATCAACAAGTAAAAACAAATTATTATTTCATAAAAAGGAAAAGAGTGTTACAAAATCTAGTGCAGAAAATTATTTTGAAACTCTTGTATTGGTGAAGTAGAACTATGAAAGGTTCCACATTGCAAGGACCTACTAAGTATGGCAGGTTCCACAATGCAAGGCTCATCTTTCCACATTTGTACGGACCTAATAGGTCTTCTGTACAGGTGGTACTGTGCATGCAGACATATCTTCAAGCCTTTTTTCCCTTTCTTTTTTCCAACTTGAAGGTAGCACAAGGAGAAGACATTCATCACAAACTAAACTAGCGTAGCTATGATATTCCTAAATCTCTTTAAGGCTTCAATTATCAGAAAAAAAAATCCATAACTAAACCTTTCTAGGAATCTTTTCTTTTCACCTTTTCCATAAGAAAATTATAATTCAAGAAGTTGCAATAAATCGCCTACCATATCCAATTGAATCGCAGTTGTCAAGCTCTTTTCCATTTCGTCAAGATCCATTTGTATCTACATAGATGGTAGTAACAGAAACACACAATGATACATAAACTGGATAAGAAAGTAATTTCACACATTAAGGTAAGCAACCTTTTCTGTCACCATTGAGAGCACATCTGCCTCAGCTTTTGCTACTAATGCTCTTGCTTGCTGTAACTCATCATTCAAAGGAACAGCTGCAAATGGCTCTATTATACTTCCTGAACCACTAGAACCATTTATATTGTTTCAAGAACATGGTATTAAAAGGTAAGCTCCAATCAACAGCTCATGAGCATCAAAGCAATACAAAAAGATCTGACCTTCAAATTTATTTTAGAATCGAACCAGGTGGAAAAATCAGGAAATGCTACAGTTTTAGAATTTGAATTAGCTATAGTAGAACAAACCGAACCACTTCATCCTATAATCTTCTTATATGTCAGTTGTTTGTCTCAAAAAATAAATGGCATGTGCATTTTCTTAAACAATTTTGCTGGTGAAGAAATTTCTAAGTAGCATGGTCAACTTTCTATCATAAATACTGAAGGTTAAGCTACATTTTCTTTTATTCAAGTTTTACAATTAATAAGGATGTGAGAAAAAGGAAAAGTAATAGTTTTTGTTAGGGTTTTCAACTTGATTCATCATATAGAAACGAACTGCAGGTCCTGATTAGGAACCTTGAAACCTACTTGTTGAATCGGTTAATGAAAGTATCATCCTTTCATCCAAATGGGGTTTGCCAATGTTTTCATGTGCCTCCATAATACAAATTTTACAGTGGCATGGCCCTGCTAAGCAGTAGCCTCTAACACACAAGATACAGAACTGGGCTAAACCTTCTCATATCAAACATAGACATAATAGCATAAGCTGATAGTGGAATTAAGCAACAATTTTATGCACCTGGACAATAGAAGACCCTTCAAACTTGTCGGTTGATCAGTCTCTGATCTTATACACCATCTACCATCAACACTGCTGGCCGCCTTAACCAATAACACAGTTGTAATTAGGATAACAGCCTTATTTCCATACAGATTGATAAAGAATATGTTGGTTATCAAATGCATCTTACCATAAGGGCTGATTCTTTTGTTTCATTCCTAATTAGAGTGTCCATTAATTGATGCAACTGAACAGGCAAGAAACTACACAGTTAAAATATCAAAGTGGGGGAAAATCTTTGAGCCAATATTATAATTAACAGAAGATTATGTGAAGGCAACACTTGAAAAGCAGTAATAGTAGATTTGCACCCTGATAAACAAAAAACTAGCACATATAAAAGCATTCCTTGAGCATGGAAAGGAGTGATTTGAATACTAGAAATACAGAACCTAGGTAGAGGTGGACCAAACTTGATATAATTTGAAGTACTGAAGAACCTCATGCCTCAAAATCTCCTAAAGTGCAAGACATTAATTGAGATGAATGAAGGTAAAAGGATTCATGTAGCCTACTACATAGACAAAGAAGCATGGGTTAAGGGCTTAAGGCTAAGCCAAGTTTAATAATATTTATATCTCATTCAATCAGCAAGATGTTTGAATTGTACTTTTCTTTAATTTCCCGTTATTTCTGAAGGCGCTGTTGGGAACAGCCAAGCAAGGACGGGGTAACAACTGAGTTCTTTTACCAATGGTGCCTAAGAAGAAAAATCAAGAAATTTCACCTTTCTTTCAAGTGTTCGGACTTGATCACGAGCTTTTCTAAGGGCAGGACTCTGAAAAAGAACAAGTTTTAAGGTAGAATGAGACCAATGGCATGGGATTTAATAAATAAAAAAAACTTCTTTCCCTATATTTAATTTCCCGGATGAAATATTGAGGCAAAAGGAACAAACCGCAGAGTCTTTAACAGAGCCATCTTCATCTATAACTCGCTGAATCAACTTGATTACTGATCTATTTACAACCAGTTGAGTAATCTGTAAACAATACCGCCAAATATTCAACATGCATTTAATAAAAGTTTGAAATTGTTCTTATCTATATTTATAAATTAAAAAAACAAAAAAATATTTATTTAGTCTTGGAAAAGAGAAAAAGAGCGTAAATCTAAATGCCGCATACGCAGTTGGAAGAGTACTAAAAGGCTAAGCATTTGAAGGGCAGATTTACCATTTCACTGAGAGGCATGAATTGTTTATACCAATGAGAGTCTTGCTTGATTGCAGCTTTTAAACTAAGCTGCAAAGCTTCGACAAACTGTAGTAGAGATAGAAGAGCCATTGCTTCATTTGCATCTAAAGGTAAACGCCTCCGTGCATGTTTGATGGCAGCTTCAACCTTTTTAGATACAAAAACACAAACACTTGGAAGAGTCATGAAAGGGCAGAAATAAATTTAAAAAACAAGAAGAAAGTGAAGAAATATTACGAGAGCAAGGTCGACGGAAGTCAAGTCCAAGTTAAAAGAATCATGGTTGTGCATTTGGATCGCAGCATCAGTTTCTTGTAAAAGCCTCAAACTGTCATGGAACGTTTGATTGAGGGCCAAAAGCTGGGCCTATCAAATTCTCAATCGTCATTCCACCCGAAAGAGAAAGGGAAAAAAACACACATCGGGTTTTATATAAAAGGAAGAGAAAAAAATTAAAAAAAAAAACCTTCGTTGCTTGACGACCCAAGGATGTGCGGGCAAAAGAGGAAACCGATTGACAGAGTTTATCCCATTCTAAAACCCTGAGAGAATCGTACTTGACTCCGGACTGATTATCATGGTGTTCCCTCGAGCATGATACTTTGAAATAAACATTCCTCCTCTGGATTATACTGATTGGGCAACCGAAGATGGTGCCCGCCGCTGCAAAGAGTGGCGGCGGCATGCTCTTCACCTGTTACAAATGGCGGGAGGATGCGGATTAGGATTTAACGGCCTCCCTAACTCCTGCTCCGAAGTCCGAAGATTGCTTCATTTTTATCCGTCGTTATGATTTTTTATTTTTTGGATAAACTACACTCTTAACCACTGAATTATGATATATTTTCATTTAACTATTGATCTTTCATTTTTTTATCAATTAAACTTCTTAATTATTTAAAATATCTCAATCAAATTAATTATCATTAGGGGTGTGCAAGTCCGGGTACCCGACAACATCTGGGTCGGTTCTCGGCCCATGTCCCGACCCGGATGTTGCGGGTACCCTATACCCGATTTTTTTTATTTTCAAATTATTAATTTAAAAAAAATATACACAAATTTAAATGTTCGAAACTTCGAATTACATACTCCAACATCCGAACATAAAATTTAAAAGTTTGAAATACAAAGTCTAATAATTCATAATATAAATAATCTATTATATTATATATATATATATATATAATAAAAAAATAAAAACTAATCGGGTACTCGGGTAACCGGGAAAACACAATTTTGTGACCCTGGTCCGACTCGGCCGGATAATTTTTTTAAAAAAATTACCCGGATTTTTTAAGTTCGGGACGGTAGGTCGGGTATTTTTGCACACCCCTAATTATCATTATCATTTGATGGAGGAACTAAGATAATAATTAATAAAATTGATATAATTATATATTTAATCCTCATTATTTACATATTTTATCAATTTAATTTTAATTTTAATTTAAAATCTTTCAATTATATAATAACACATGAAACATATATAATTATAAATTAAGTATTAAATTTGTTTCAATGGTATAAGTACTCCACTACTTTTCAATTGGCTTTGAACGCCAATAAAGAATGAATATTACATAGTGACAATAATTATGAATTACATAGTGACAATAATTATGAATTACAATCCGGCTTTCAATTGCCACAAATTAATCATAAGAACAATGCGAGATATAACGCGGATCATCACGAACCCGGTTATAGGCTCAGCTATTCCTCCTTGTTTTCATTGCTTTTAGCTTCTTCCCCGCTCGATTCTTGATCAACTTCAGCCTTCTTTACCGGCTCCACCGCGTCATCATCATCCTTTGAAGAAATCGGTTCACCACCACCACCAGCCTCTGGTTCATCAGAAGACAAGGGTTGAGCCTCAACCTTCGGTTCAGAAACTTCCACCGAAGTTTCCTCGGTCTTGTTCTCACCTCCATCAGTATTGTCCTGCCAAAAACACACAACTTTTTTTTAACTGTTGTAAATCATGCAATGCAGTAAAATAGAAATTAAAGGTGGTGATGTTTAGTTACATGATCACCGGTCTCAGGTTGAGATTTCTTGGACTTCACTGGAGGTTCGGCAGATTTGCTGAACTCCTTAGGTTTGGTCGCGCAGCCACCCATTACCGGTCAGGAACTTCCGGGGATGATTGAGCGAGTACCTCGAGGTAGTGGTCGGATTGTACAACACTGTTAAGGTTTAAGAAATTGAAGCAATACGAGAGGTAATATAATAGGTATATGGGATTCTAATAATCAGGAGAGTTTCTCGGCATATAGATTCATCACCGTAGTTTTTCCAGGCGGCTTTCATGGCGGGGTGAGGGTAAGAAATGGATATTGGTTGGAGTTTGTTGTGACAGTTACCTCGATGGAAATTCATAGCAACCACCACCTCAGGTCCCTGTTGTATGGTTAAAGCCCTTCTTATACACCAAAAATGGAGATGAAGGATACGGATGGTAATGAGTTAGATCGGGTAAGACTGAAATTTTAACATATTCGAAATAGACTTGAGTATTACATCTTTTTATCCACCATCCGACTCAAATTTAAGGAAGTTTTATGTGACTCGAAATCCAACCCAATTTTTAGGGTAAAACTCAACCCAATACAAATATATATACATAATTCTCATTTTTATTAGGTCAAATAAGAAACTAATTTAAAAAATATATATAAAAATAAGTATTAGAACTATTATTCTTAAATATATATAAATGTTAATTACATTATTATTTTTTAGTTAAATCGGGTTGAGTTAGATCGGGTATTTTCACCCTAAACTAAAATCTAACCTAATGTTATCTTTCAAAAAATCCGACCCGACCTAGACTTGAATTAATAAAAAAAACCTCTCACTTTATAAGGTCGGGTAGATTTAGAATCCTTCGTATTCGAGTTAAATACCCATCCCTAATGAAAGTGATTACAAAGTCGGTTGAATCCCATTATAATTTTGTATTCATCATAAGAATAAAAATTGATGTGTTTCACTGTCGATTTTTAAAGAGTTTTACATTGGTTTAGAATAATTGGATGTGTGTAAATTAATTACTAGATTATTCAATTTTTTACATAAAAATCTCTTTATTTTTAACTTTTATTCTCGATAATTAATTTATACTTACCTCATGATCTTAAAACAATATAAAAACTAAAACAAATTACATTGACTAGTTAGATCCTACCTCTTCTACTATACTATACATTTGGAAGGGATAATATTCGAACCCTGGACAAAGGAATATCAATGCCATTTAATTACTTATAAACTAAAAACTATTGGACAATTAAATATGCTCAAACCCACGTGTTTATATATGTTACAATAATATCAATACTAATAACAATTAATCGAACTAAAACTCAAAATCAACATTCATGTTATTTAATAATATACAATAATCATAATTTAATATAAATTTATAACATATTTGGAAATGAATCACTAAACATTCAATACCTCAATCCACTTTGGTTATTTAGGATTTTATATTTATTATTTTTATTATAATATATTAAATAATAAGATTTAAAATACTTTTTAAAGTTTTTTTCTCTTAATTTATACGAGTAGATGTTATGAATTAATCATATATTAATATAGTTGAAAAAACCCCGAAAAAATCTTTGTTTAAATATCGATAGAGATTATTAAAATAATTATTTTACTATTTCAAACCTTGATATAATTTACAACTTAATGGAAGCAAATTATAAATTAGTTGTTAACAAAGTATTAAGGGGATTTTAAAAAGCAACTAATACAGAATGGAAAACCTGTAAAAAAATCTTTGTTTAATATCGATAGAGATTATTAAAATAATTATTTTACTATTTCAAACCTTGATATAATTTACAACTTAATGGAAGCAAATTATAAATTAGTTGTTAACAAAGTATTAAGGGGATTTTAAAAAGCAACTAATACAGAATGGAAAACCTGTAAACTTACCGCAAGGGACAGCTAAGAACAGAAGCAAAAGGTTTATGAAAACTAAAGATATCATTCTCGTAATTCTTGGCCATTAACGCTGATTATAACATAAACTGAACAGCTTCCACGGCCTCGGTTTTCACTCTGTCTTAGTAATTATAGTACTCTCACCAACTTAATACGTTAAAAACAGAAGGGTCATTACTGTTTTATAAAGTTTTATCCTTTTAGGTTTTGACGACCAAGATTCTCATTCCTTTTCCTTGTTTTCCATTTTATATACATGAAAACTGTGTTGATTTCTTCAAGATTTTGCTTTCTCTGAATCGGGAAACCACGAAAACACCAAGGGAGCTTCCCGTTTTGCAGCTACCGAAAGGGGAAGCTCGGCTTTGGTTATTTATATATTCTTACCGGTTCTCTTGACTGACAGAAGAACTCACCAATCATCGAACATGGCGGTGTTGTTTCTGATCCCGTTCAGTGAACATGCATTGTTGCTGTTGTTGTCTCTGCTGCTGCTCGTTCCATTGTCTTCTTCCTCCAGTTTTCGGCCACAAAATCCATTCTCGGCCATACGGTTGTCTTCCGAAGCCAATCCGTGCGCCCGTTCGAAGCTGCCTGATTCGTGTCCCGTTAACTGCTTCATGGCGGACCCTGTTTGCGGAGACGACGGAATTACCTACTGGTGTGGGTGTGCCGATGCTTATTGCGCGGGGGCTAAAGTTGCGAAGATAGGATTTTGTGAGGTAGGTAGCAATGGTGGAAGTGGTGGAAAGGTGTCATTCCCCGGTCAAGCACTGCTTTTGGTGCATATAGTTTGGCTCATTCTTCTGGGATTCGCTGTTTTCTTAGGCCTCATATGAATGCTTGTTCTTCCTCAAACCAGAACGAGGGCTCTTTTTAAATCCTCAACTTTTTAGTGGTAATTGGTGCAGAGTACAGACATATGCCTTCGTTGATTTAAGTAAGCTTTAGATCTTTCATCTCGTGGCCATCATCTTACTCACTTCCATCTCTTTTCGGTTGCATTTGAATATGATCATATCGATAATGATCATATCGACTACTATAATATATCGATGCTCATTTTCGAGCATCGAACAGATATTTGGATTTGTACCAACAACTTGATCCTTACACATATCAATTTGTCTGTGTTGATTTGTATTTGCATGCATGAGAATTTTATACGAAGAAGAATCTTGATAAAAAAAATTGAAAAGAGTTTTAACTAGTATATATGGGACTATATAACCACAAGCATAAGAAATTAAATCAAATGAAAAATGCTTATATTTAACAACGCAGGTGATTCTTGAAATTTTAAGAACGTTATAACTAGTATCAAAGTAGTCTCCATACACAGAAACACAATCTGGTTTCAAGCAATAGGATTTTAATAAAATCAGTTTCTATTCTTTTTTCTTGGGGCTCTGGAGTGAAAATCCCGGTTGACCATCATGACGCATGTCTCTTGCTTCCATTGATCTAGAAGATTCCAAGGTTTCAACTTCGGGCTCTGCAGAAGGAGCATCCTTTGTGCTTTTGGGTAGCTCATGGGAAACGTTTATGTGAGAACCATCTGCAGAAGCGTTTTTGACCAGGCTTTTGTACAAGGTGAGAGCTTGGGCAATCATGCTTGCAGGATTTGCAGTAGAACTAGGAAGCAACATTGTTGTGCCCTAACAAATAAGAAGAAAGGACAAGTTCAAGTAGGAAGAAAGAATGACTAAATATTGATAACATATACCGGCAACATATGTATGCTATCTCCCTTTTACCTCCTTGGCAATATTACTGAATGCTTGAACATACTGCTCTGCTCTTGTCTACAAATGTCTTCAGCCTTTCGAATTCATGATTCATATAACACTCCGATCAGAAATGCTACATATAATAAGCATAAAGGGTGTTATTCCTTTGAACAACAAAATCTGCTTGGGCAGCACCTCATGTTCAACTAGGGTTTTCTCTCTCCCTCTCTCTGACTGATAATTTTTCTCCTAGTGCGTTTAAAATACAAGGGATAGACTGAATATCTCATAGTTGTACAAACAAGTGAACCTAGCTTCAACTGGAAGAAAAGAAAAGAAAAACCTGTACGTCTTCAGTACGTTCCCTATATCAGCAAAATCTAGACAACTAATGACCATCAAGTCATTACACAAGTGCAAACGCCAGGAATGGAAGTTTTGCGACTCTTAGGCATAGAGTATTTAACATTTATAAGTATCACAATGATCCCAACACGTTTTCCAATCCCATCACAGGAAATACAAGATACCATAAAAGTAGACAGAGAAATCTTATTTGAATCCTGTAATAGTGTAATAGTTTCAGGAATGATTAAAAAGTTGAGGCACCTAATATGCACACAGACACACACAATGACAATGATGGAAGAATCTCACCTCAACTCCCCCATTTTCCTTTAAGGACTGAGACACCAATGCAATTCCTTTAGCTGTAGCTTGGGCTCTAGCAAGGATGGCCTCAGCTTCACCTGATAAATGCATTTGTAAAGAAGGAAATTTTGAAGACACTAAGAGAATAATCAAAAGGGACAAGGACAATAAAAAAATTGTTACTTGATCAGTTTGTTCTGTCCATATGATAAATAATCAAAATTAATCTCCCACATCAATTTCAATTACAAAATGTCGTAACCGGTTTTCGCCCGGCTACGAAATTTTTACTTGGCGTGAAAAGTGATGTGTGAATAAATGGTTTTTTAAAAATGTTTTGGGAGTCGCCATCGGCCTTTTGGATCAGGTAGGTCGAATACCTAAAAATTATCTTTTAAAAGAGTTTTTAAGAAAACATCAGTTAAATAAACTGGTCTGCGTTTAACCAAAAATTCGTTCTTTTTAATAATAAAAAGGATTCGTGGTCGATTACGTTTGGGGAAGGATTAACACCCCCACAATGCCCAAAATTAGTACTTATTAATTATAAATTGTCTCTATTATTAGAAATTTAAATATTCAAAGATGTATTTAATTTATAATTCTGTTATTTCAAAATAATTTTATTTTTATAAATAAGATATTTATTTATTTAGAAATATCAGAAAAAGACTTCTAGGTGCTTTAAGACAGCTCTTTTCGTAGAATTAAAAAAATTAATAAAACATTTATCTAAAAATAAAAAAAATAGATTAATATATATAATTTATAAAAGTAAAATATTTATTTATTTAAAAATATCATAAAATGGACATCTAGTTGCTTTAAGACTGTCATTTCTTAATATTGAAAAATAAATATATTAAAATATTATTTTTTAAAAGTAATTTATAAATTAAATTTACAAATAGGATTTTAATAAAAAACAAATAAATAAATAAATGAATATGACTAAATAATAATAATAACAATAATGATTAAAGTAATAATTTAACATATTGAAATTGAAATGATAATAATATAAATAAATTGCAATTAAACATATAAATAAATAAACAATGACAAAAAAAGAAAACTAAAATTATAGGATTAAAATAAGATATATAAATTAATAGACAAAATGAAATTATAAAAAAACAGTGACAAATATAAATATAAAACCTAAAGATCCTAATTTGAATTATTAAAAAAGATATGTACTAATAGTGTAATTTAGCCTCAATATTAATTACTCGGGTTAAAATAAATTTTATTAAAATTACCAGGGACTAAATAAAGTATTTACCATAAATATGTAAATATAATAATAGTGACTAAATTATAAATTAAATAAAATTATAAAGCCGAATTGAAATAATTAGAAGTTGATTTTAGTGACTGAAATAGAAAGTTACAAAACTAGGATGGCTACACGCGTGATTCTTCCCAGTTGGAAATTACATAGAAGTCCCTCCCTAAAACGACGTAGTTTTGAGGAGGGTATAAATAGACCTTAAATAGCCTAAAATTCACAAAATTCCTCATTTCTTCATTTTGCGAGAGAAGCTCTCACTTCTCTCTAAACTTAGCCATCGGTCGGCCATCGTCGGTCACCGGCCGGTTACCACCGGTTACTAATTATGGAAGTTTTGCGACTCGAGGCATAGAGTATTTAACTTTATAAGTATCACAATGATCCCAACACGTTTTCCAATCCCATCACAGGAAATACAAGATACCATAAAAGTAGACGGAGAAATCTTATTTGAATCCTGTAATAGTTTCAGGAATGATTAAAAAGAGGCACCTAATATGCACACAGACACGCACATGACAATGATGGAAGAATCTCACCTCAACTCCCCCATTTTCTTTAAGGACTGAGACACCAAGGCAATTCCTTTAGCTGTAGCTTGGGCTCTAGCAAGGATGGCCTCAGCTTCACCTGATAAATGCATTTGTAAAGAAGGAAATTTTGAAGACACTAAGAGAATAATCAAAAGGGACAAGGACAATAAAAAAATGTTACTTGATCAGTTTGTTCTGTCCATATGATAAATAATCAAAATTAATCTCCCACATCAATTTCAATTACAAAATGTCGTAACCGGTTTTCGCCCGGGTACGAAATTTTTACTTGGCGGGAAAAGTGATGTGTGAATAAATGGTTTTTTAAAAATGTTTTGGGAGTCGCCATCGGCCTTTTGGATCAGGTAGGTCGAATACCTAAAAATTATCTTTTAAAAGAGTTTTTAAGAAAACATCAGTTAAAAGATAAACTGGTCTGCGTTTTAACCAAAAATTCGTTCTTTTTAATAAAAAAAAGGATTCGTGGTCGATTACGTTTGGGGAAGGATTAACACCCCCACAATGCCCAAATTAGTACTTATTAATTATAAATTGTCTCTATTATTAGAAATTTAAATATTCAAAGATGTATTAATTTATAATTCTGTTATTCAAAATAATTTTATTTTTATAAATAAGATATTTATTTATTTAGAAATACCAGAAAAAGACTTCTAGGTGCTTTAAGACAGCTCTTTTCGTAGAATTAAAAAAATTAATAAAACATTTATCTAAAAATAAAAAAATAGATTAATATATATAATTTATAAAAGTAAAATATTTATTTATTTAAAAATATCATAAAATGGACATCTAGTTGCTTTAAGACTGTCATTTCTTAATATTGAAAAATAAATATATATTAAAATATTATTTTTTAAAAGTAATTTATAAAATTAAATTTACAAATAGGATTTTAATAAAAAACAAATAAAATAAATAAACGAATATGACTAAATAATAATAATAACAATAATGATTAAAGTAATAATTTAAACATATTGAAATTGAAATGATAATAATAAAATAAATTGCAATTAAACATATAAATAAAAAATGACAAAAAAAGAAAACTAAAATTATAGGATTAAAATATAAGATATATAAATTAATAGACAAATGAAAATTATATAAAAAAACAGTGATAATATATAAAATAAAACCTAAAGATCCTAATTTGAATTATTAAAAAAGATATGTACTAATAGTGTAATTTAGCCTCAATATTAATTATTCGGGTTAAAATAAATTTTATTAAAATTACCAGGGACTAAATAAAGTATTTACCATAAATATGTAAATATAATAATAGTGACTAAATTATAAATTAAATAAAATTATAAAGCCGAATTGAAATAATTAGAAGTTGATTTTAGTGACTGAAATAGAAAGTTACAAAACTAGGATAGCTACACGCGTGATTCTTCCCAGTTGGAAATTACATAGAAGTCCATCCCTAAAACGACGTAGTTTTGAGGAGGGTATAAATAGACCTTAAATAGCCTAAAATTCACAAAAGTCCTCATTTCTTCATTCTGCGAGAGAAGCTCTCACTTCTCTCTAAACTTAGCCATCGGTCGGCCATCGTCGGTCACCGGCCGGTTACCACCGGTTACTATTCCGATCACCGC